TGTATGTTGGGATTATGTACAAAGATTATTCAATATTATAAGTGCCCAGCAGGGTGTCTTCATTAAAGTATTACTATTAGAAATTAAACTTAGAGTACAGATGCAAACTGTGTAATGTCAGTTTTCTAAGCAATCTGTGATTAAAACAAGCCCCATGTCTTCATCTCACGACCTCTTGTGAGATCTAAAATAATTTGTGCAAACACCTTGTTTAAAATAGGCAGGGCCAGGATAATAGACACACCAACACAGCTGAACACATCTGTAGGGTTCAAAAACTGCTCTTTTTTCATAAAGGAAAAAAAATAGCCACCATAAGCCAAACAAAACCCCAGCTCCATTTTGAGCTGCTGACTGACTTCTTCAGTCCCTTTGTCACCAGCACCAGCCATGTGGCTGCATCCTGGCTTCATCAAAAGACATTCTGAATGCCAGTCTTCAATTACAAACAAGAGGAATTTATTTTCCATTAAATAATACAAACGTTTTGAAACACAAACTCCAGTGACTATCCAGAGATCAACTTCCTTACAGTCCCTTTTATAATTTCTCCTATCCCAGGAGGACTTTCTTCCTTAAAACATCTACTGACATTTATATACAGTAATATTCACATATATCATTACAAATCTAAGTACATTTTAATTTTCATGGTTCCTTATTTTAAAATAACCATTAAGCTTTTAATACTTTCAAACAGAAAAAAATAACTAATGTAATGTATGTACAAACACAGTCCAAATCTCTCTGTGAGGCATTTAAATACTAACTTCCAAAATCCAAACACTCATTTTCTTGGTCTATCCTTCAAAAGTTCCTCATTAGTTTTTCTTCTTCTCCTCCAGGTATTTTCCCAGAGGTCGGAGGGAATGGGTTTCCTGCACTGTTGGCAGGGCATTAAACATTTATGTCTAGCTATCTCCTGTGTATGGGTTTCCTCCACTGGGAAAGGAAGGGAAAGCTCTTCAGTGGAAGTAGTGTCTGCAAATGTTAGCATGGGCTGAAGGAATAATGTATGACAGTTTATATGAAATAGGAATTTGAGAAAGCTAGATCTAGAGATATTTTAGATCATCATCATTATTATCATCCTCTGCTGTGGATGAAATATTCACACAGACTATTTATCTTCTGGTATCCAGATTAATTGACTTACGCAGGAAGCTTCCACTTGACCAATTGCCTTCCTATAACTTGTCATGTTTATTGAGGATAGCAACAGCTCATTCCCTAAAGGATTCTGGGAAATCTGGTCCAGACAAGGCTGTACCCTCACAACCCAACAAATGTGTATACACACACCTATGTAATGACAGTCCGGATTATCAATGTAGTTTAATTTGTCTTCTGTGTTATGCAATCACATTGTTTTGTCCGCAGTTCTGTTTTTCATGTTCACATTAAGTTACAGTTTTTCACTCTAGTCTAAACTCACGTCTTATTTCTGTTAGGATTTGCTAAAGATGGGGTTTTAGGTTTACATTTTGACCCATCTCTAAACCATACTTCTTTGTAAAATAGTATTTTGCTTCTTGGACAAGTTTGACATTGAGAATCTCTCTACTAAACAATCTAACTGCCTTTTGCAGCATTTTCTAAACAGACATTATGACCTTAGTGTTGCTCCCTGGTTTCTACAGGCTGGGTAATCAAACAAATGTCAAATGCTAAGGGGATAGCAAAGTGATTGAGAAGGGAGAACATCTTTCTTTTTCATACTAGTTGTAAAATAGAAATAAGGACACTCTCACACTAAATAGGAATGTAATCAAAATAGATAATGTAACAATGACACATATGATTAGCAATTAATTTTATGTTGCCGTTTTTTTATTTTGACAAGTTAACAACTAAAATTGTTCTTTACATTTTATTTTACTATTTGTTTCATTATTAATGCACAACAATGCAGTTTTCAAGCTTTATTTGATATTCCAAAAAATGTATCAAATTAAAAAAAATCAATCAGTTCTGACATTTATCACTTCCTATTATATTCCTAAATTATGTTTCATTTTTTTTCTATAGGAAAATATTTTACTTCAGCCAAAGTTTAGAATATTATGTATTGCCTATTGATTATATTATCATTAATTTCATTTAAGAGAAAAGCAGGTTTTCTAAATGAGAACTACATATAGTGAAATATTGCTGTAAGAAAGCTTTACATTTATGTATATGCATATGTACTGTATCTTTTTTATTATAAAAAACACAACAAAATGGCACATTGGCTGTAGTTAATTGTTTTCTTAACTGTGAAGCTGTTGCAACCGTGTATGACATTTTTCTAAGAAAAAGTAATTAAGTTAAATAAAAAGCTTTTGACTGTAAGTGGAATTAAATCTTTCCATAAAGCAAATATTAAATATTTCCTCTCCGGCATCTGTGTTTCAGGGAGGGGAAATTATTTGCTCCAGAGGAAGCTGAAATGATATCACACAGCATGTATTCTAATTTAGGGGGTATTTACATGCTGCTTCAACCCTTTAGTTCAAATATGGTATAAAGACTATTAAGCATCTTTGTTGCCAGTCAGATGTAAGCCTTAATTGTAATTTTACTACAAATTCTATTGATGAACAGAAAATGCAAGCATTAAAGCAGTCTTTAGACAAACAAGGCTGATAGAGCTATCAGTAACTAAGCTTTTTTATTATTTTTTTAATCTAATTTATATGGACTTAAATTGTTTCTGAAAAAGTGTAGCAGGCAGCATGGTGCCACAGTGGTTAACTGATCGGGTGGGTTTGTTCCAAGTGCTCCAGTTTCTTCTCAAAGTACAAAGACATACTGGTTGATTAATTGGCTTCTGGGAAAATTGGCCCAAGTGTGTGTGTGTGTCGCATTGGCGCCCCATCCAGGGTATAACCTGCCTGGAACCCTTTGCTTGGTGGGAAATGCTCTGACTTCCCCGTGTCCCCGTACTGGATAAATCGGTTAAAATGGATGGATGTAAAAATTCTAACTCATTCAGTGTAAAAAAACAAAGAGAAATCTTGGTGTCTGTAACTTAGCATGGTAACTTGGTAAGAATATGTAAAAATGCAATCAGACTGGCATATTTTACCTTAGAACTGTAAGTTGGAAAAAGTAATATAATGGAACGAATAACAATAGTGAGGTACTTAAAAGTGTGATGTGAAGCCCTTGTAGTCTCGTCAAATTATTCTTCAAAGGAGGAGATCCTGTGTAAGCTTTTAAAAGCTTTTATTTACCTAGGGCTTGTGATAGTGTATATCTGGATTTTCTTTTGTAAAATTCTCCCGGAAGATGAATCCCTGGGATTGTGAAGCTAACTGAAAAAGAATACAGTGACACCATTGCAGAAAGCTACTGTGTAACTGAGGAGAGCTTCATCTATTGCTGATAGCAGTGAAATTAAATGCGGAGTCCCACAGGGCTCAGAGGTGAAACCTTATTCTTTTCCCAAAATGTGTTCGTTATTTCGGTCATGGAAAAACTACCAAAACTCTTAACATGCTGATACCATTAAAATTGGTTGGAGAGCTGACACACATCAAGCAATTACAAAAATACAAATAGATTTTGACAGTATTGAAAATGGACAGGTAACTGCAAAGTGAATTTAGCCAATTGGAAAGTGACCAGTGAGAGAAGATCAGAGTGGTCATTGCTTTTCTTCATCTTCCTCTTTTACTTTAAGGAAATAGACATCAAAACAAATCAAAAAGTGATGGTGAAAAATGTACATGAATGTCCAAGACATATTGACCACAGAAAGTACAGTATATTTGAAGTCCTTAGTGCTTTCAAGAACCTTTTTTACTGTGTTCAAATCATTTTTGTTGCACACCGGAAGGAAAATAAGATGTACTCAAGTCAATGCAGTTTTTTTAGGAAGATAAACCACAAAATCTGTGTGTAAGTGCTGTCTTTAATCATTATAGGTGCACCAAAACTGTTAAGAGAAATTCTCATTTGCTAAACATAATTTATTTGAAGTTGTACATATATGTCCAGACCATTTGTTATCTGATATTTTTAGATGAACTGTACAGGATATTACAAAATAATTAATTTAAGAAGCAATGTCTACTTCCCAGCAAAAATATTAAACATCCCTAAAGATTAGTGGTTCTCCCTCCCAGAACTCCAGTGGTGTCCACAGAGACAAGTGACCACTCAACCTAAAGAAACTGGCACAGCTGTGTGTTAGATGTGGTTAGCAGTTCAGTCATGGTCTTTATTGCACTTCCTGTTTTTGTTCTGTTCTGAGCTTTTAGTGATTAGGCATTTGCAATCAAGTCTTGACCGCAGTCACTTTTTGTCCTTCTCATAGCACAGTACACTGCAAATAAAAACCTGTTCTGATACTATTTCAAATTATTCAGGAATCATGGAGAATGATGCTGGCAAGAGGAAGTATATAGTATTTTAATATGGCAGTGTATTTTTAAAATGAAGTGCATAGTCTCAACTGTATAAACCATGTACATATCAGGTTACATAAAACAGTAAAAAAAAGGTTACATGAAACAACACGGCAAGTTGGAACATGCTTGGAACAGCATCTAGCATTTAGGCAGTTAGGATAGCTATCAGTGCCACCAACTGGTGAGAGGTGATGGTAACTACCCAATGTAAGTAGTGGGACAGGTAGAAAGCACAGTTAATTTTGCAATGAAAAAAAGAACAATAGAAATTAAAATATAATAGATTATGTAGTTCAGGTAGGTAGCTGCATCAGTCTCCACGGCCAAAACGTTGTGTTTTCTTTCTTCTCATTTCAGCATGGAATAAACCTATTACTTGTTCCTACAATAGATTGTCTGTTAAGATTTTGTAGAAAATAAGTCAAGGATGAGATCCTTACCATTATTATGTCATTACTGTTGTGATCTGAATAGAAAATGCAGTCATTGGTTAAAAAAAATAATTGCTGTTTTAATACACTGAAGAATTTGGGCTCACATATTCAGTATTACATGGTATCCATTAAATGCTGTACCTAATATTTTTAATATTTTTGCCAACAGCTTCATCAACCAAGACAACGTATGTCAGCTATAGCAATCATGCAAACTGAAAACCATTCAAAAGGAAATCCCTAAGGTGCACATTTGCAAATACAGGATTTCTCAAGTATGAAGACAACTGGAACCTTTTACCAGCACTGAAGCATGAGACATTGGTATTATTTTGCTGAAACTGATGGCTAAGACACCTTTCAGCTAAGAAGAGTACAGAGTTTGTTTGCTTGTATGATTAAGTATTAACAGCACAGATATGAAAAAGAACAAAGTGGCTGAAAGCCAGAACAAAAAGAACACTTAGCTTTGGGCAACAAAATGCCATCAGAGTCAACCATATTTGTTGTTATTATACTTGTAAGTATTTTTGTGGTTGTGAAATTTTTTCATTCTTGTCCCAGCTTTGTCCAACCTGCATAACGAGATGAGATTGTCTCTTGCAATGGCTAACTGGATTGAAGCCCTGGGTTGTGAACCTATAAATGCAATGGTTGAAGCATGCCAATTTTTATACAAATAATTTATTTATAATAAAGGAATGTTTTGCAAATGTTTAGCTTTGTTGGGTGTGGATTTAAGACCAGAAAAAAAATCTACTTTGCTAAAATCAAATATATCTATACACTTCTAAATAAAGTTTCCATTAGGCAAACAATGCTATCACCTTTTTGCTTGTTTGCCCACTACACTACCAGTTATTTACCTTAATTGTGATTACACATTACCTAAAAATCTTATAAAACAAAATATTAATTAATCAAGTACTAAGCATTTTAGATAAATGTAATGGGACAATTACAGAGATTCTTCAGAGGGTCAGGGATAGCACTATTCATACTGTAGCTAAATAGAAAGTAATACAAATTACACATGCCAAATTAAGCACTTCCACTTTAAATTGAGCAAATCCCTAAGGGTAATTTAACTCTGAAACACTCCACCTCTAAAATACATTTTTATCATTACAGAATATTAAGGAGAACGTAATGTACATTGTACTCCCCAAACTGAAATTTTTAAACAATTAATTTAATAGAAAACTGAAAGACAACAGGCTAAATGAGATCACAGTGCTTCAGTCAAGAAGCATCTATACTATCTACTCACATTTGAACAGATATTCCTGTAACTTTATAGATAATTTGATCAGAGTCATTTTATATTTGGTCTCATGTGTAGCCACAAAATGAGAACCTGGCTCTTGTTCTGTCCCTTGCCATTAAGCTTATTAAAGTTTAAGCCTTGGACAGAACAATATGATTACATGTGCCAACCTCAGGGCTGAAAAGTTAGAGAGGGGTGACACTTGTGACCAGATGTCCACATTCCAGGTTGAAGAACTGTTTCCTAATAATGATTAGGATTTAGGACATTTAACTAAACAGCTATGAGGAAAAATACAATTAAAAAACTGCGCGTCTATATCAAAGGAAGCATATAGTGACTTAAAGAATCTAAGGCTTCAAGCTTAAAACTCCTCAACCATGAAATTAATTCTCCTGTGTTGTGATAAAAATGAAGGAGGTGAGGTTGAATGATACACACTTCTTGAGATGTTTTCTTTTTTATAGTTTCTCATTGATAGGATCCATTTTTCAAAACAAAGCCTTACAATTACAGAATGCACGAAAGAGTGGTAAATATTTCTTACATATACACTATTACAAAGCTCCAAGTACAATATACAGTAGTAATCACATTTCTTTATACAGGTATATGAATCATACATTTTAATAGAATGTTTTTTAGTTCTGTAAAACACATTAAAATCAAACAATCTGAAGTATTCATAATTTTTGCTTTTGACAAATTATTTTTATTTTCAAATACAACAGCTCTGTTTTTAAGAAAATACAAATTCTGAATCTGCATCACTAACACAATTTCATGGAATTCATTGCTTAATATAAAAAAATAAATTACTGTACCTGAGCTCTATGAAGAGACAGAAGTCAGGAATTCAGTGGTTTTGCATACCAAGAAAAACATGGAAAATGTATTTATGAAAATATACAAATAACTTGCAAACCTGTTAAAATATTTTGGCTGTTGGTCTATCTGTGGGAATGGATACCATGGTATCGAGGACCTTTCAGAAAAAAAACTAAACAATTTTTCCCATCAGAGAATTGTGCCAGAAAGAGAAAAGCAGATCAGACTTCTAAATCTTTCACAGTTACTTCCATTATCTTCTGTTTTTTCTGTTCCATCTGAACTTTCAATTACTTGAATAAACATTTACTGTACTTACGCACTTTTCTTAATTTTCCTCTTTTGCTTATTTAAGAAACTATAAAGTTTTGTAAAACAAATATGAGATTACACAGGTACTGTAATGTGAAATCTCCCACTAAGGCTAAAAAAATCCTTCTAATGACATTAGGATTGGATCCCAGAAGTCTGGGAGGATTTACATACTGTAAGTCACAGAATCTCTAGGGTAAAAATACAGGCATTTAAACTAGTGTTCATCATACCAGCACCTCTCTGCTATCCCTCTCATCTCCGCTAATTAAGCAATCTGTAACAAGCGGTGTGAAGAACCCTATGCAGGTCGAGTAGCAAACAAGTCCAGTAGGGCAAGGCGTAGTCGGAATCAGGTAGGCAGGCAGTGTCGTTATTCAGGAAGAGGGTGCGAACAAATCCAAAGGGCGAGACGAAGAAGGAGTCGGATTGGCAATCAGTGTCGTTTCCAGGAGGCTTGAAGAAAGGGATCACAAAGGTTTCGAAGGTGAAGAGCTCAGTAAAACAGCAGACTGTTTAATACCAAATAGTGAAGGGAAAGATGGGGTGAGAAGTGAGAGACGTGATAGGATGATTAGCTTATGGGATGTCGTTTTGGGGATTTGGATCGGACTGGTATCTGATTGACAGGGGAATGCGCCAGTGTTAATCCGAATTATGTGATTGATTATGTGAGAGCGTGACACAATCATTGGATTCATTGAAGGTTGTTCTTCCTTCCTTGTCCATACTGTACACCCTGGCTGTTGTAACTCAAAACAAGGGGGTTTAAATCACACAAACAGTATCAATGAATGTTCTTTCTTTCTTGCAGTCACATTGTTAGTATTTTACTAAATTATATGAAGGTAGATTAAAGGTTAATCAAGACATGAACAAAGAGTTCATCTGAAAAAACAATGTACAAAATTCAAAGGTTAGCATTATGTACCCCTGTTCTTTGACAAACTACAGATGCATAATTGCACTTAAGACCAAAAACACCATCAGAATGTACTGCAGTTTCCTTTAATGCTTACAATCTCCACTAACGAGACCTTGCAATGATTAATGCAAGTAACCTTTACTTAAATCATAAATTTTGTGTTTTATGTGTTTGGACCTATTATACAGTACGTATACAGATTGAAACATTCTTGTGCCATGATAGCTATACTCTATAATGGCTGTTTTTAAACTAAATCTGTCCATTGGTTAATATGCATAAGTGTGTGCTATTGTGATAGTCGTGACACTCATGACATGGTTTCTCTTCAATTAAATAAAGGTCATGCTGAAGATCTTTTTAGTTTTACAACGCAATGCCCCATGTTCCTAATCTCAGCAATTGAACTGTTAACAAAATGTATGTGACGTCTGAATTCAAGGCAATGTGCTTTAAAAATATCTACTAGAACAAATTACACGGTGTAAAGTTAAATGAGATCTGAATGAAATTATGAACCAAGCATTAGACACTGTTGCAAAGGATATGGACTAATAGGAATTAAAAGAAAAGTATGAATTATAATAAAATAGCATTTCTTTCTTCTGAAGTTCAGGTTTCACAAGCTGACAGACTCTATGATTACAGTACAATAACTATGTTTTCTTACTAATAATGTCATACTGTATATTCTATGTTTTTATGGGAATTTTTACAATCTCTTTAAACCAGAGTTTCAGGTTCTGGAGGGCCTACAGTATGTGTCTGTAAATGTTCATTAAAACTCAGCTCTTAACAAGCTGGATTATTGGTTTAATGGGACCAATTTAACAGCTTCTTACAACTCTTGAGGTACTTTCAAGAGACCTAAAAACCCTGCAGATACACTGGCCCTCTAGGACCATGATGGCGCACCCCTGCTTTAAATTGAGGATGTCAGTCTATGAACAATCTATAACATACATTTAGACATTTAAATGAAGTTATGAACACCCAATTGAACATGTTCCTTCAGATACAGAATTTAAAATAATCTCCATTCACTTCTGCATGTGATACCTCCCTAATGTGCCTGAAACATCCTATAATAGAATGGACTTTGATCTACAGAAGGGGTGTGGTATACTGGGGCCAGTGGGTAATATGGCCCTCGTTTTTTCTTAGGTAGAAGGCAAGGCATAATATTACCAATAGAATGAAGTGTTATTAAAGGTTTAGAATATTCTTTGTTGCCTTGGTAAAGTAGTATAGAACACTGTGTAAAAACAGCAGAATGCAGGTGTTATGACCCCAAGTGTCTAGGGGTAAAGGGGTGTAACATTTAGGATAATTTTTGGAAGCAGGTGGGTTCTGGTGAGGGACTAGGAAGCGTGATATTAAGGGTCAGTGAAAAAGTGACCATTTTAAGTTGAATAAGTGACTGGTATGAAATAAGACACAATAACACACAGGGTAAGGTGACTAGAGTGGTGCCAAAGAAAATAAAATAGCAAACAAAATGGAGCTGGCTAAGAAAGTGAGGGAAAGCTATCCTAACTACAAAAGAAAACCTGAAACACACGGTCTTCGGCGTCTTCAACGCCCTAGCTTACCTCCACTGACTACCCAAAACCATACAAGACAAAAGGCACTCACCCGTACTAAACTAGTGTGACTAATACAAGAATCAACTATGTGTGTGCAAATGTACCCAACAATCTAAACTAACTATACACAAAAGTTCACACAAATACACAAGTGAACTACGAATACAAACAAGAGTAGACAAGTAACAGGGTACAAAAGAACACAGAGGTTGATACAATAACAAGTTTGGGGCAAGGTAATGGCAAAATAAGGATAACACAAAAAAACAAAAGAACAAAGAGATGAACAGAAACCAACAAAACAACAAAGCCGAAGGTATACAAAAACACACACACACAAAGCAAAACAACAAACCAACAAAGCCGAAGCAAAAACCAAAAGCGAAGCGAAAACCAAAACCGAGCGGAACCAAAGTCAAACAAAAGGCCCCTTCCTTCTGAAAACCTCCATGTTATATATTGAATAAGATACACTCTGATTGGCTTAGAAGCTGATTGATGATGATATCATACGGTGGTGTGATGGTGGGCCAATGGGGGAGGGAGAACAATCAAAGTCAGCAGTGTGGAACATAACAACAAAATACACATGAATCACACACTAGGACGTAACAGCAGGTAAAAGGAGATCCATTGAGATAGATGTGAGATGCTAAGAACATCTTCCAGATCTGGAACACCATTGTAAAGCTGCGTCCATTTTGAAACATCCTAATGACATATGGTGCTGACTGCTTCTTCTCAATCTGCTATTCCCCTTCTATCCATGATAAGGGATCAGAGCTCACTGTCCATCAAC